AATCCATATGTGGGACAGGAAGCAACAGTTAGAACTGGATATGGAACAACTGATTGGTTCAAAATTGGGAAAGGAGTACAACAAGACTGTATATTGTATCCCTGCTTATTTAACTTATACGCAGAATACAACATGTGAAAGGCTGGACTGGAGGAATCCCAAGCCAAAATTATGATTGCCAGAAGAAATCACAACTTCAGATATGCAGACGATACCATTCTGATGACAGAAAGTGAGGAGGAATTAAAGAATTTTATAATGAGGGTGAAAGAGGAGAGCACCAAAAATGATCTGAAGCTCAACATCAAAAAAACTAAGATCATGGCCACTGGTCCCATCACCTCCTGGCAAATGGGGAGATATGGAGGCAGTGACAGATTTTCCTTTCTTGGGCTCCATGATCACTGCAGATGGTGACAGCAGTCTTGAAATTAGAAGATAGCATCTTAAAAAGCAGAGACATCACCTTGCCGACAAAGGTCCGCATAGTCAAAGTGATGGTTTCTCCAGTAGTGATGTATGGATGTTAGAGCTGGACCATAAAGAAGGCCGACTGCCAAAGAATTGATGCTTTTGAATTGTGGTGCTGGAGGAGACTCTTGAGAGTCCCCTGGACTGCAAGGAGTACAAATCTATCGTTTTTGAAGGAAATCAATCCTGAGTGCTCACTGGAAAGACAGATCCTGAACCTGAGGCTTCAATACTGTGGCCATCTCATGAGAAGAGGAGGCTCTCTGGAAAAGACCCTGATGCTGGGAAAGTGTGAAGGCAAGAGGAGAAGGGGATAACAGTGGATGAGATGTGTGGACAGTGTCATCGAAGCTACCAACATGAATTTGACCCAACTCCGGGAGGCAGTGAAAAACAGGAGGGCCTGGTTTGCTCTGGTCCATGGGGTCACAAAGAGTCGGACGTGACTTAAAATACCAAACAACAATAAAAGCCCCTGTCATGCCAGAAGGATTTGACCAGTCCCACCTGCCACTGAGGAAACCTGGCAAAACTCTAACATTATTATATTTCAGAAAGCTAACAGAACTGAATCTCAATACTGATCTGTGTTTACTATTTATTTTTAGAGGTATAACTTGCCATTGATAATAACAAATAAACAAACAGTGGCCTACTATGATGTCCTGTAATGTTACTGTACTTTGGTCACAATCATGTTATAAAGTATAAACCAATTGAGGAAGATCACTTTTTCCAAATTAAACTGGCTGCCAGTACCTACTGTAATTGTTAAAAACTAATTTTTGGAAAAGAAGAGATGACAATTTATGGTTTCAAACAAAACAAGAATTAATAAAAGCCATCAATAAGGAATTACATGACAATACTTCTTCACAGCTCTACTGTGAAGAATTGCTAAAATCTATCATGGGACTTACATACGTACACTCATGTGAAAAAGAAAGTGCACCCTCTTTGAATTCTATGATTTTACGTATCAGGATATAATAAAAATCATCTGGTCCTTAGCAGGCTTGAAAATTAGGTAAATACAACCTCAGATGAACAACACATGGCATATTACACTGTGTCATGATTAATTTTATAAAAATTAAGCCAAAGTTGAGAAGTTATACGTGAAAAACTATACACCTTATGATTCAATAGTTCATACAACCACCTTTATCAGCAATAACCTGAAGTAATTGTTTTCTGTATGACATCATCAGTCTCTCACATTGTTGTGGATGAACGTTTCTTTACAACCTTGTTTCAGTTCACCAGTCTCTCACATTGTTGTGGATGAACGTTGCTTTACAACCTTGCTTTGGTTCATTGAGATTTGTGGGCATTTGTTTATGTACAGCTCTCTTAAGGTCCCACCACAGCATTTCAGTAAGGTTGAGGTATGGACTTTGACAGGGCCATTGCAATACTTTATTTTCTTTTTCAGACATTCTGCTGTAGATTTGCTGGTATGCTTGGAATTTTTGTCCTGTTGCATGACCCAATTTCCACCAAGTTTTAGTTGTCGGATAGATGGCCTCAAATTTAACTCCAGAGTTTATGGTGAACTTAATGATTGCAAGGGGCCCAGGTCCTGTGGCTGCAAAATAAGCCCAAATCATTACCCCTCCACCACCATGCTTGACAGTGGTATGAGGTGTTTGTGCTGATATGCTATATTTGGTTCTCACCAAACATGACACTGTGCATTATGGCTGAACACCTCCACTTTGGTCTTATTTATCCAAAGGACATTGTTCCAGAAGTCTTGTGGTTTGTCCAGATGCAAACTGGTAAACCCAAGCCATCCTGCCATGTTCTTTTTGAGAAAAGAGGCTTTCTCCTGGCAGCCCTTCCAAACAAACCATACTTGCCCAGTCTTTTTCTAATTGTACTGTCATGAACTTTAACATTTAATTTTCTAACTGAGGCATGTAGAGTCAGAGATGTAACTCTGGGTTTGGGGCAATTTTTTGGCATTGCATGGTATGACCTTGGGGTGAATTTGCTTGGACGTCCACTCCTGAGAAGATTGGCAACTGTCTTTAATGTGTTCCACTAGTGATTAATCTTCCCCACTGTAAAATAATGGACCTAAAATTGTTTGGAAATGGCCTTATAACCCTTCCCAGATTGATTGGCAGCAACAATTGCTTCTCTATGGTCATTGCTGATGTGTTTCCTCCTTGGCATTGTGCTAACATGCACCTGAATGCTCCAGACCAGCAAACTGCTAAAACTTCAGCTTTTATGGAGGTGGTCATACTTGCCAATGATCAATTATTCAAGGGCATTTGGCTAGCAGCACCTGGCTGCTACTTAGCCTCTTAATTCCGATGGAAGCAGTAAGGATGCACCTAGTTTTTCACACATGGCTTCTCCATTTTCACTTTATTTTTGTAAAATAAATCATGACATGGTGTGATATGTTGTTGTTCATCTGAGGTTGTATTTACCTGATTTTCATACCTGCTAAGGACCAGATGTTTTTGTTACATCCTGATATGTAAAACCACAGAATCCAGAGTGTACTTTCTTTTTCACATAACTATAGATACCAGAGTGTACTTTCTTTTTCACGTGACTATAGATACTTGGAGCTGGATTCTGAACTGCCTTCAGCAATGCTGGCTAAGTGAAACAGTCTCTACAGCATGTTTGACTGGATTGCATATAACCTTCTATACAGCTCTCTCCCTCAAGGTCCTTGTAATGGTATATTCAGTCCCGACATAACAAGTTGCAGTTTTGAAGTGCAGGAAATGGGACAATCTTGCTGCTGAGCTGAGTCTCTTACATTTATCCAAACCACAGGAATGAGATCAATGAGATTACATCTACATTAAGGGGAGGTACTACATCGCAAAACTCCTGAGAAATAGAAGAGGTAGGATAAGAGTGGAAAGAATATTGTATCCAAAAAGTTACGATGATTATACCATGTGAGAAGCAGCCCTCATTTCAATAAAAACAGCTGATGTGGAGAAAGTTTTCCCAAAGGTTAACGTCTTTTCACCAATGTCTGGCATACCTAGAGCAGTTGACAATCTCTATACTTGTCCCTTCACACTGGTGCCCTCCACATCGTGGAACGGGGTTGTCACAGGAGCGTGTTCTGCAGAGGCAAAAGCCTATGTTGGGGCCATCTATATGTGTGCAAGACTTCCACCCTGACCAAGTTCCGAAATGGCCATCCACCGTCAAATTCCTTTTCTGGAAACCAGAAGACAAAAATGATAAAATTAATAAGCTTTAGTTATCAGATCTGATGCTAACGGTCATGTAATACACAGCATAATGTTCATTCAGAAGCTATGATACAGGCACACACTATTTTCCTGCCAGTGGGAGTGGCTAAACATAACTAACCAAAAGAGGAAACAATATGTTATACAAATCAAGGTTGCCCCCAAACAGATAAGGATTGGGAAAAGAATAAAGCTTCACTCTTGATCCTGAGTGACAAGCCAGGAATCACAGTTCAGATATGCTAAACTTTAGGTGTCAGATTGGCAAAGGCAAAGAGGCTGAGAGCACCACCACACAGTTCCCCAATATATATGAGGACTCCCTAGCACTCTGGGTTACTATTGCATGCGAACACATACAAGAACGGTGCAAATCCTAAGAATGTTTGCCAAACAGTAAGCCTCACTGACAACTACAAACATCATAAGCATGCCAAGTAGTGCACTGAAAGATGGCATGTGAAAATTTAAAGATAAGCAAGAAGATCAAAGTACACAGCTTGACTTGAAATGGCAAAACCCATCCAACCATAAAATCTACCAGTGTCCCAATTGGCAAGCCTTCTTGTTGTTCACACATTTTGCACATAGCTAGCAATTGTGGGTAAGCAGCCTTCTTCTGCTTGTTTGGGATTCCTTTGACTGACTGCTCCTACAGCTGAGTTACGAGTCACAGAGCACTAGCTCTCCATGCAGAAGGTCCTGTTTCCTGTTAAAACTAGCTCAGGAGGCAAATTGCAAGGATCCTGGGCAGCCATTAACAATATGGGGCCAGCACATGGGTTTAGTGGCAGGCAGGTTCATGCACTTTCCCATCTTCACCTCTTCAAGTAGCCAGACAGGGAAAGTAATATCAGTGTGCTGAATTTTGCAGACAAAAGCACACCGAAGCAATCACATTTTTCTACACAAACCAACTCTGCAGAAATACCAGCTATTGAGGAGGAAGGAAATCTGGTAGGTTATCAACCTCCCATTTGTGCAGACACAATCCACACAAGGGGGCAATTCTTCTCAACAATTAGTGTGAAATATATTTCTATACCACATCATCCAAGAAAGAGGGAGAAAAGGAGCCTACATTTAATCAATAGCAGTCTAAGGTTCACAGATTTAATTACATCGACCCATATGGTTTCATTTTGCATTGCTCGTTTCTGGCTAGTCTCCAGAGCGTTTAGTTGTTCAAAATTTCAGGTCTTAATCACAATTAATGGCTCCTATCTAGAACTACCTATCAACAAGCCAATATTACTGTGTAGCACCTGTGGTTAATAACACTATGACCCTGTTCTGATCTCACACAATGAAACAGAATTGGGCAACATATGGCTTATGGGAAGCAAGCAACGTTGCCCATTTTTGAGAGCCTTCATGGACCTTCCCAGGCCTGTCCATGCCAATTCTTTTTACCTCAGAAAGGCAAGTTGCTGCTTCTAGAAGCCTCCAGGAGTAGCAATGCTCCTCCCAAAACAAGATGCAGGGCTTGCTTAATGTGTGGAAGCCTTTCCTATCCTTTATTCAAAATGAAAAGGAATCAGAAGAACATCATAATAAGAAGTCCAGGAGGTGGGGGGAACTACAGCAAATGGCAGGAGCAAAATTAACTCCTGGATCCACCAAAATGGCCCATTCTTGCACTGAAACATGCTTTAGCACAGGGGTCTCAAACTGTGGCCCTCCAGATGTTCTTGGACTTCAACTCCCAGAAATCCTGGCCAGCAGAGGTGCAACATAGCTTGGACTCTTGGGTTTTTCCAATGCAGTCATGGGGAGAAGCTCAGAAAGTGCTGCTTCTAATTTTATCTTGTCACAGATTTTTTTAAAAATAAAGATTTTAAAAAAAAATACATATAAAGAAGTAAAGCATTTTCAAAAATCTATTCACTTACAAATGGTACAAAAATTGCATTTTCTGGAGATACTAACTGGACAAAGAATTATTTAAATATATGATAAAAGCCAAACAGATGAAAAAGCTTCAGGGTCTGCATCCCCTTGTAAACACACACACAATGTGTAAGTAGCAATAGGTAGAGCAGTGTTTCCAAACCTGAGGGTCATGGCCCCCACGAAAAGTATTTTCTGGGAAGCTGCAGATCACCTTATACAAGCTGTAGCATTTATTAAATAATTTCTTCCTTGGCCTTTCAGAGCAGGTTGTTAAAGTTAGTGTGTATGGGCATGCATGAGAAATAGGCCCTCTGGGGGAGAAAGAAGCCTCTACTTTTTGAAAAAAAGTAGACTACTTAGACTACTTCTTTACAAAAAACAAATCAGGCCAGCGGGAAGATATAATTGCTGCTGCTTCTGCAAGAGAGGGATTTTAACTAAGACATGTCACTTCAGGAGAGCCTAAAGACGGGGAGGAAAATGAAAATGAAACCCACCCCACAACAACCCCACCCCAAACAAAAAAACAGCCTGCCTCTTCTGTAGTGGGTGCAAGTTTCTATGGTCTGTGCCAGTTTCTGAAGAGGATCCCCTCTGAGTAAATGTTTTGCCCCTTTCCTGGATACAATGATGTTCTTCCACCCCGGCCCATCTTCAAAGTCTTCTCTTCTCCCTACCTTTAACCAACCCCAGTCTATTCCCTCCCTGGTTTTGAAGTGGTGGAGTCAGAGGTGGTGGCAGGAGCAGTAGGAAGCGGAGCAACAGCATCACTGATGATGCAGTTATGCTAGGGAATGCCTACAATGGCCTTTTTTATGCAAATGTGACAGGGGGTGGCAGCTTACTTGGCTATTATAAAAAGGGGTGTGTGACTTGAAAAGGGTTAGGAACCAGTGATGTAGAGCATTTCATAATCAAGCTTTCTTTATGGTGATGGATGCAATAGGAAGATGTGCTACCACCAATATGTAAATGATCAATGGCTCTAAAAACATATTTCAATTGTCCCATCATAAAATAGATAGCAAGCATAAAGCAGGGTCCAGATAAAGTCTGGCTCCGGTACAAATGCCAATCTCTGAAATAAGAGAGGGTCAAAAAGAAGCTATAATGGGGGCAGGACCACCAGAGATGACAGTATGTTCCTGTATTTCCACAGCACCGTCAAGAAAGCTTTTTTCCCATCTTTTGAATACATTGTAATTTTATGGGTTTATAAAACCACTTATGGATAAATTTTTAAGGACTTCTCTCTGATAGTTGCAAGCACAGAAGAAAAAGAGTTTAAGAGTACAAATTCTATGCCAGCTGGCTTCATCAATTTCCTCTTTTAGGTCTTGCTCCCAAATACATTCCAAGGCAGAAGAATGGGAAAACGTTACAGATATTGAAGTTGTATATATCATTGAAACTATCTCTTTAACACAAAATACTGGAAGACAAGAATCTAGTAGCCTGCGTACATATTGTAAGAGATTAATTAAAAAGGGTTCGGCTGACAAATTCTTACTCAACTTTGTTTAATGTATTATCTTTTGCCTGCTAATTGAGAATCAGTGAGAGGGACACCATGATCGTAGAAGTCTTTAGTGCACTACCCGAACTGTAAGGTGTAGTTAATGTTATTATGGTTTGTATGAAACTGTTAGGCAAGGTGGGATGTGGAGGAAAAGTATCAGCAATATATCAATTGCACTCGGATCTACAGTGGTACCTCGCATAACGGGCACCCCGTTTAATGACGAATCCGCATAGCGACGATGTTTTTGTGATCACTTTTGCAATCGCATAACGATGTTTCCTATGGGGGAAAATCGCTTTTCGACGATCAGTAAGCCGTTTCGCTTACTGATTTTCACATAGCGATATTTTACCCCAGCTGATCGGCGGTTTCAAAATGGCCCCGGGGTAAAACAGGGACGGATTCCTTGCTTACCGGGCAGCTAAAATGGCCGCCGTATGGAGGATTTTCACTTAAAAGGTAAGTTTTAAGCCCATAGGAATGCATTAAAGAGGTTTCAATGCATTCCCATGGGCTTTTTAATTTCGCATAGCAACGAATCTGTATAGTGACGATTTTTGCTGCACGGATTATTGTTGCTATGCGGGGCACCACTGTATTTCTCTGTATTAGGAGAAGCTGTTCCAACAACGAACTGATGTCTGCATTCAGCAGCAGTAGACTGAATGAGGCCCAATCAACTGAATCCCAGCAAGACAACACTCCTGTGGACAGGTAGGACTTATGTCTGTTAAATGGATTTTCAGTTTGCCCTTGATGGGGAAGCATTATTTCTGAAGAGAGGGGAGAGCAACTTGAGGGTATTGCTTCCATATGTTTCTGCATGTATAAATACATGCCCCTAGAAAGTTTGTCCTGAAATATCTTCTTAATATTAATATCCAACATCAACATCAGATCCCTTTGACATCCGAAGTGGAGTGAAACAAGGCTGTGTCCTCGCACTGATCCTTTTTGGGATCTTTTTGCTGTCATGCTGAAGCACGCTTTTGGAACTGCAACAGAAGGTGTCTATCTCCGGACTAGATGGAAAGCTCTTTAATCTCTCTAGATTTAGAGCGAAGATCAAAGTCCAACTGAAATGCATGTGGAACGTCCTCTTTGTTGATGATGCAGCCATTGTTGCCCACTCTGCTGAAGACCTCCAACAACACATGAATCGTTTTAGCAAGACGTGCCAAGACTTGGACTAACAATTGGCCTGAAGAAATCATGGGCCAGGGCGTGGATTCACCTCCCTCTATTACCACCTCTATGCAAGAATTGGAGGTTGTTCATGACTTTGTGTACCTTGGCTCAATGATCTCTGACACTCTGGCCCTAGACTATGTTGGCATGTTGTGAGAATGGCATGTTGTTGGATTCCAAAAGATCTCCTATATGGAAAATTAGTGCAGGGAAATCGCCCCAAGGGAAGACCAGAGCTGCGATACAAGGATATCTGCAAGTGTTTCTGAAGGCCTTAGGGATGGACCTCAACAGATGGGAAACCTTGACATCTGAGCGTTCAGCCTGGAGGCAGGCAGTGCAGCATGGCTACTCCCAATTTG